GGAAGGCAGCTAGTCATCACCAACCACCGCCAGCTCTTGAGCTACTCTTTTACCAACGAATAGTGGGATTGACCGTCATTTATAACGTTCCCAAGTCTGAAAGGGCGAACATGTTTGGTGGAACGGTGATTCGAACCCGCGACCCTCAGATTGCGAGTCAAGCTCTCTAACCAAAGATATCACTGTTCTTAACATATTTGTTAACTTCTAAAATAAAAACTTCAGACCCTTTGTATGAAGACTTACCGTTCTTCACAGCAGTGTTAGGAGCGGTCATTACATTGTCGTAAAAGTTTCGAAGATGTTGGAGTACGTCGGCCATGTTTTCTTGAGAGAGATGCTTTGTGCGAGAGTGCAAGACAATACAGGAAGTATCCAAGTGCCTAAGAACTGCAGTAGACGCCTTCAAATACCTTTCTAAAGCCTTTTAACAAATCAAAATCGGTATGTTGTTCTTTCATCATTTAATATTGAAAAATAAAACTAACCTAGAACTGAAATTTCGCATTAGGGGAAGAAGTTTCTAAAGAGGATAGAATTCTATGACAGAACGATAATGAATAAATTTACTTAAAACTTTTAACGGTTCAAAGTTAAATTACTTAATTTTTGTAAAATAAGCACATAATTTAAAATATCTATATGGATTAGAAGTTACTAAAATGACAGAATGGAAGGTTTTAAGTTTGTTTTTACATACTATTTTAAGACATTTCATATCAATATACACTATCTTACCAAAAGTCATGGGACACGGGTAGTTATAAATAAAACATGTCTTTATTACAAGAAGTTAATAGCGTGTTGGCCCGACTTTGGCCTTAATGACTGCTTCAATGCGTCGTGGAAGACTGTCTATTAATTTCTGGTAGAAAGTTGGTGGTATTGTGCTCCACTCCTCCTTTAAAGCATTAGTAAGCTCCACTACTGAAGAGGGCCATCTTGGCCTTGCCCTAATTCTGCGTTCCACTTCATCCCAAAGATGTTCAATCTGGTTGAGGTCGGGGCTCTGTGCTGACCACTGTAATGTTCCGATGTCATTCTCTTCAAACCACGCGTTCACAATCATTGCTTTGTGACATGGAGCGTCATCATGTTGGAAGGTGTAAGGGCCGGTACCATAAAATTGTCATAATGTACGAGAAGCACCCCCAGACCATGATACCGCCACCTCCAAACTTCACTGTTGGGACAACACACTCAAGTAACAAGCGTTCTTCAGGCATGCTCCATACCCAAACACGTCCATCAGAGTGGAAGAGCGCGTAGCGTGACTCGTCGCTATACAGGACTGATTTCCATTGATCCACGGTCCAGGTTCAGCGTACCTTGCCCCATGCCAAACGAAGGTGTGTATTTGTTTTTGTTATCAACGGCTTGTGGGCTGCAGCTCTTCCGTGAAAATTCATGGCATTTAGCTCTCGACGTGTCGTAAAAACACTTATAGGATTGCCTGTGGCTGCTCACATCTCGAAAGATATATTCTCTGTGACCTGATGGTGAGATGAGGTAACCAGCCTTCTCAAAGAGCGTCGGATCCTGTCAGTATGTTACGCTTATCTGGTCATTTATTAGGCTCATTGTCACCTGTGGACTTCCATTTCTTAAGCACGTTGCCAATTATCGACCTGGGAATTTTTAATTGTTGCGCAATAGCACATACAGATATTTTCCCCAAATGACATCCAACTATCCCTCCCCTTTGAAACTCTGTTAGCTCTTTCCTTGTACTCATCGATCGGCGTTTATAGGTCAAACTATTTGCATATTTCGTAGTCACACCCATTTTCCTGCAATCAGAGGTGTGTCCTATGACTTTTAATAGGATAGTGTATATCACGAAACCAAGTAAAAAACTGTGGACACAGAGGTTAAAGACATGAAGTTTAAAATATAAACAAATTAAAAAAGGGTCTCTTTAACTTGACGGTCATAGAAAAAAAGAAATATATACTCCTCATTTTTTGGTAAAAGAAGTAAAATATTTTGCTGTCATTAATATAACTTGTTTTCTGGCTCAGAATAACGTAACTTGTGCAATATGAGAATATGTAATTCTTATCTATTTCCTTATTTTATATGTTAAAAATTTATTTTTGTTTATAATGACTAACAGATCACGCTGACATAGTAAGTATCGTCTAGCTTAGTATTTCTGATGAGCTCTGATAATCAGTGATCAGACAATTAACAGGCATAGTTGAAAGTATAGATTGAGACAACCCTAGTGCTTAAAATTCATACAGAACCAGTTAAAAAAAGTGTAAAAAATTTTAAATAAAATAATTAGGAAGTATGAATTGGAGTACCAGAAAGTAAGGAAACAAGGTAGGAAAGGGTGTGATAACATTACAACACTTGGTGGTTTTTGACACCGTGCAACCTCGAAGTGTACTTGTCCATAGCTATTTTTGGTACTACGTCTCGAAAGTGACTGGGCTATAGGCCTATCTTTCTCGTAGCTTTTCTTGTTGTTAAGTCTCGAGAGAGACTGGGATATAGGCCTATCCTTGATGTAACTTTTCTTAAAGCTATTTCTCAACATTTCCTGGCTTTTGCTGATATCTTTGCTATAGTTTTTTTCCACCTATCCAGAGTGGCAGTCTTTTCTTTGACTGGATTAATGAATAAGGATTGATTTGCATATTCAGCATCACTATTTCTAACCTTATCTCTATTTTTACACTAATGCACTCTTTGCTAGGACAAAGACGTTTCTTGGTTACCAACATAAGATCTTCTCTTTTTTTTTCTCGTTTTATTTCTACGAAAAGCATATTTGAATCACAATCTTAGATGTCAGTAGGTTACACTTAGTTTGAAAACAATGCAAAGGTAAATTATACAACTTATTTATCTTATTTTCAGTCCAGAGCACTCGAGCAAAGCCGTGTAAGACTTTGGCCATGTTAATGTTCATCCTCACGTAGGAGACTCATGTCTTAGGCACCAACTGCTATGATAAAATTGCTTTGTCCAACACCTTTGAGTCAGATGTATAGAACTGAAAACTTCAATTTCAAAGGTTACATCATGGTTAAAACCAAGATCTAGAGAATCTACTTAGTCTATGTTTTTTATCTAGCTGATAAAAGCTGCAGGCTGATCGCATGTGCATAAGCAATTGTGCACCCTCATGTGATATGAGGGCAGGTTGTTACTTGACAACTCACAGAGCATGCTCGTAATCAAAGAGTAGAACAACTAGTGTATTGTTAGCTCGTTAGTAATGTTGCAAAATGGTTATTGTTATTACAAAGATTATAAGTAAAACTAAGAAAAACGCTTTTAACCAAGGTAACGTAATTCAATCATGTGTATTTAGACTTGCATAAGGTGAAGGCTGGAGAAGGCTATGCCTTTCCAACAATTTTAGCCAGTCAGTCAGATAGTTAAATTGACAAATTTGTGGTTTTGTGATTTTTTTGATTTTTTTTACTCTACCGACTTTCTCAAGTGCTTTGGTAACATGTTGCTTATAAAGTTTTGTTTACACGCTGTTTACAGTGTGTTTGAGATTTTAATTTGTGTTGCACATATTGCACATCTGGCCCATTCCTACTATAAGTACTACCATACTTATGATAGTGTTACAATTTTAATATTACCACTATTATATTTCATTACGCTTCTCATCTTAGTTTAAAATCTTACCAATCTTTTACGTAACCACTGATGATGATCATATGAGTAGGTTCCGCCAAAATCTGAGGTCAGTTGACTCGGAGAAATCAGTTTGTGGAGATTTTTCAAGGTGATGTACTGGGGCTGCGAGAGAGAACCGTCGATATAAAAGATGTGTTTGTTATGATTAGTATTATTTTGCGATCATTCAGATACTTATATTGATCATTCGTTTACATCCTAACGTTATCACTTTCTGTTGTAGAAAACAACAGTGGTTGTTAATTAAAGAAACAGAGAAGAATGCTATTCACCTTACAGTGAACACAAGTATATATGTTTAATAAACAAAACAGTAATCAGTACTAAAAGAGGAAACTATTTTTTACTATACTTCCAGTAATACTAGCGCATACTACCAATTTCCCACTGACTTTCTTCATTTGAATGAGAAGCTGTAGATCCTTCATTGTCTTTGTAAGTAGGTACGGATGAAGGGAAAGTGTAGAACGCATAATTGGTGATAAACATAACACAGAAAAATATGTTTGCCACGATGACAACTAAGAGAAATCCAAAATACAGATATGGAGTACGATATATTAAAATTATTTTGGAGTCTCACCATATCGCCACGTCCAGTCACTCTTTATCTGATGACCGTGCATCTTGACAATAGCAATAGCCTTGCAGTGTAAATTCCATTGCAAAAGGCTCCTTCGTAAAGTTATCATGTCCAAATCACATCACTTCTCCCTATATGATATCCATAGTCCTCTCTAGTGTACGGGAAGGAGTTTGCCAGCGCCAGTTTAAACAGTTAGATCGCGCAGAAATACTTAGGCGCTGAATTTGGCGACAAAGCCGGTATGTTTTGGGTATGGAATAGCATGAATACTTGTTTCATTTCCCAGATGCTTGAGATATGCGACGTTTCAACGGATATGCCGTGGAAGCAACTTGTGCACATGTGCCCTGTGTTGCTTTTTCAGACGAAGATCCTTCATGATTATGTTGCATATTGTTGCCTGGGGCTCATGAATGGTTTTTGCCACTGACCTTTGTGTTTTTGGATTACAAGACACCGCACGTTGCTTACAGCGGCTGGGGTACGCCTTGTCACACGTCTCTTTCTGGATTTTCCCGGTCCTCCAATTTGATCAACATTTCTTTGTTTCCAGTGCATTTAAGTACATGGGATATCCCAGTCTTGGAAAATTCTAAATTCCTGATCTGAACACATCTTTCTGATCTAAGTGTATGAGTATTTTGAGTTGGAGAGGGTTGTTACATAATCTTCCCCAAAACGATCATCTTTCAGAGGCATCACACTAGCTACTAAACGCCCAACAATGTCAAAATGTAGTTCTGATACATTCCGTTCTACCATGACATTATATCAGCTGTGATTGTCACATGACTTGCTGGTTTGCTTATTCAAAATGGTGTTAATACCAGGTACCCATTTAAGCTTCTGCATATCAGGTCTTCTTGTGTCTTAGATACGTTTTTGAAAGTGCTGTGTCATTTAGATTAATTTTATTTTAACCATTAAATTTAATTACTTTAATGAATTTTGGAACTGTCATTTTCCACAGGGGAAATTCCTTATCAATTCACTAGATAATAATAATAATAAATAAATAATTAATCCCATTGTTTGTTTTTAGGGGTTTTGTCAATATGTAGTTTTTGTTCGTTTTATATTAAACCAAGTAAGCTAGTTGCTGAAATATGATCTCTTTGAGTTTAGATATTTGTTTTGCCATTTTATTTTACATATATGAAAACTAATGTATTTGAAACTTTCTCCAGCTGTTGTACCTGAAAGTCTAAGAATAGTTTCTCTCTTTTTAGATCCACAGGCTTTTGTCTCTCCAGCAAACCGTCAGGTTTAATTACATAAACAGCGCTCACAAAATCTTCTAATGAGCTCTGAAACAAAAATACGAGGGTTAGTAAATGTATCCATGAATATTACAATTGTTTACTAATAATCCTTTTTTGTTAACGATAGAAAGTTTGTTTGTAGTTAAGCACAAAGCTAAAAAATGGACAATTCGGTATTGAAACATGATTTTTAGCGTTTTGGGCACTCAAACTTACCACTGTGCCACCAGGGGCCTGATAAAAATAAATAAATAAGAGAATTTCTATAATATCATTCATACATCAAATGACTATGCAATCACCCGAGAATTAAAAACAGTATGAAAACAACTGTCATATAAAAACACCAACATATTAGAAAAACAAATATAAAGAAGGAACGTACATAAAATGTATAAAAGTGTAATAAAAATATAATGAACGAACGTATATCAAACATGTAACAGTATATCACAAACATTAACAAATATAATGAACGAACGTATATCAAACATGTAACAGTATACTATAAACAATAACAAATATAATGAACGAACGTACATCAAACATGTAACAGTATACTACAAACATTAAGAAATATAATGAACGAACGTATATCAAACATGTAACAGTATACTACAAACATTAACAAATATAATGAACGAACGTACATCAAACACGTAACAGTATAGTACAAACAATAAGAAATATAATGAATGAACGTATATCAAACATGTAACAGTATACTATAAACATTAACAAATATAATGAACGAACGTATATCAAACATGTAACAGTATACTACAAACAATAACAAATATAATGAACGAACGTACATCAAACATGTAACAGTATACTACAAATATCAACAAGTTTACTTCGATAATGGTGTGACTAACTCAAGTAATAATATTTTGAAAAAACTGAGAAATCCAAGTGACAGTTTTTACTTCTATTTATTAACAAAATCATTGCCCGCATTCCTAATAAAAATACTGTCTTATTTAATAACGAAATACACTAAATAGTTATTAGAAATGCAAAACCTTTACTCCTAATCATGCAGTTATAAATAATAAGCGAGATGAATTCATTATTTTATATGAAACATTTTGATATTTCTTTCACTATCATTGAATATAACTAGCCTCTTGATCTGTCAGATCAAGTAGCTAATTCTAGTGTTCTCAGATCAAATGTTAATTTAGTTGTAGTTCTTTTCCTTTGTTTGGTTGTTTGTAATTAAGCACAAAGCTACACAATGGGCTATCTGTGCTCTGCCCACCACGGGTATCGAAACCCTGATTATAGCGTTGTAAGTCCGCAGACATACCGTTGTGCCACTGGGGGGCAGTTCTTTTCCTTTAAACGTGCTATAAATTTATATTTTTTCTTAATATTGTTATAAGCGTTTAGTTCTAAGTATGCTTCTTTGCTTTACGGTAAATATTAAATAAAAATATTTAAGTATTAACAATAGGTGGCATTTGATAAAAAGAACAATTAACGCTTCCTTAACTTTTATGTATTATAGAAAATTATTATAATCATAATTTGGTTTGCGGTTAGCTAACTATGAAAATTCATGTTCGGTAGTTTTTATTGGATTAAAGGTTACAGATTAATATCCAAAAACTTACGTGTACTGCTATGAACGATGTTTTAAGTTGCTTCCAACCTTCACCATGTCCATCTATGATGACTATGAATCCCAGATCTCTGGAGTCTTCACTGGCAGTAAAAGAAACTATAACATCACAACTTCATTCCATTTCAGCTAATGTCAAGTTTTACGTTTGTTTGTTTTAGGACGTTTGAGTTTTTTTTTTTCTGTTAATGACTTTCTTAGTGAAGCATTACAAACAATAGGTCATTACAAAGCTTTGTTAAAGACAATCAAATTACTAAACCATATTTCAAGACATTTTAATGGAACTGGTGATGTTAGGTTAATATACAATAATTTGTTCCTTTTTGAAATGTATGAACAGGGGTTCCAAAACTAGGACCCGCAGACTCCTCTCCTCAGGAACCGCAAGATAATTTCAGGGGCAGTAGCAAAGTATTGTTAAGCAAATATTGTTCGATATCTATAGATTCAATGAGTGTGTCTTTGGTAGTGATGCAGAGTGCTCTACGGGAAAACCTTGTGTTGAAAAAGTTTGGGAACCTCTAAACTATATAATTCAAATAAAGAAAATATTTCTAATTTTCAAATCTACAAATGTTTTATGAAAACAAAATACATTTTCAAGGTTTTAATTTTGTTTCTTTTCGCTCAAACCCACGCAATGGGCTACTTGAGATCTGTCCACTGCAGGAAATCGAATTATTCCTAGATGTTAGCGTTTGAGGGTGGTACACTAATCGGTGACCCACCGAGAGACCCAAGGTTTTCATAGCTTGTGCTGATAATTTGTTAGAAAAACTTGTAATTCGCATACATTTCGACAGAGTGCTACATTAATTTCTAGAACCTTCTACAAACATAGAATGTCAAAACACTGTAATGAAATATAAGTAAAACGGCGGGAAATATGTATTTAAATGATATAATTTAATGATTTAACTTGCAGTATGATTTAATGAAAACTGACCTCTCGATAGTTATTCATTATTTTGCGATTTAGTTATACCTAACGGTCTGTAACTTTATAAAATAAAATAATTAAAAACATTACAATGTTGAAAACATTTTACTTTCTATAGTATATGACAAATGAAAAGCAAAAGAAGGTTGCATATAATGTAGACATCTTACACTTGTGTTTCAACAATAGAAATTCTGAATTATCCATACCTCAAATTACTTATTACCAACCAACCAGAATACACACTCCTTCAGCTTAAAATAACGTTGTACTTTTCAGTGCATCTGAACTAGCACGTACAAAAGTGACATCGCAAAAGTTTTAAAACTCAGAACTGCAGGGTCATCCCAGAAAACGGGAAAACAAGTTGATAAGATCATTCATTTGTGTTTATGTTTTTGTCTGTGCACATGTTCTATCTGTTCTGTTTCAATTATCAGCTTCAGGGAGGTCTGAGAATTTTATCTAACGAAATGTATGTATTTCATACGATAAAATGTCAACCTAACTTCGTATCTCTAAATTCTTTGTAGCTTATCATCCTCAACGAGGCAGGCATTTTTTTATATTTTTTTGCGTATGTTTTACAAGATAAAATGTTTTTCTCCAAATAATTAAACGATAAAATGTTTAATTAATGGTTTTTACAGCAAGGTTTTGAATGTGAAACACGAATATTTTCCTGCCATGAGTGCTAAGCAGATAGTACGTTAAATTAGATCAAACCCATCACCTACCCTTTAGAAAAACGGACTGGAGTCTAATCTTAGACTGATTTAACTTGTTTGAATTCACCGAAACTTATGAAACGGTTCAATATGAGTTTTAATTTGAATACAATTGTTGAAAAAATCTTCTAGAAGTAGTAAGATATACCACTAAATATACAGGTTAGCAACCTCCCTCTCGTTTTAAATCGTTTCATTTCCAAAGGTTTTAGCAAATCGGATGTGTATAGGTTACAAATAAATACAAAGTATAACCAACATTATAAATGACGTTAAAATGCTGTGAATGAAAAGTACGTTAGTCAATATTATGAATATTAATT